TTACTAAGTCCCCCTGACTCCCAAAGTAAGAATTCTAAGGGGTTCGGGTTTGTAGAGGGTTTAGGGGGATTATTATCTAGGGATAGGTAAGGATTAGAAGGGCATATCTCCATCCTGGTTAAAGGGCACAGGCTTTAGGGTCGAGGCTCAAGGGGGTAGGGCGTAGGGTCTAGGAATGTTATGGGTAGCAAGAAGGTTTCGGTAACTTCTAATAAAAGACGAGAATCATAATATGGAAAAAAGTGATAAAAAGGAAATTCGGGTTGCACAGGTTCATACAAGGTTTCCTATTAGCTCAAATGAAACTTAGGACCTTACAAGTATCATATGACTATACTACGGTACGAACTTCATGGGTTGGGGTGGCCAAATCAGATAAATACTTTCAAGGATCAGCATGTTCCATCTACCCTGAGCTCGGAAATAAAAACTGTAAGATGTTACTCACAACCACCCAGCTTCAGGGAAGCGAAGGGCGGATCAAAGGAAAGGTCCGGCCAGGCTTCGAAGACTTTGTAAGCATCTTGCAGGCCTCGCAAGAGTGACCAAGCATCCGAGGCATTGCCTGCGAAGGGGTCGAAAAGGACCCCCGGAGGCTCGGATGGATCCATGGACCGGGCGACGACGCGTCCGGCCGTGCGGCTGCGCAGCAGGATCAAGAAGCTCTTCAACTCTATCCTGGGTTGCTGTTGAAGAACTTAATTTGAGTTACTATATTAGGGAAACCATATGAGTAACTATATAAATATATACCCATTATGGTAACATAGTTCAAGTTCCTTAACAGCACCCCAGTATCTTCCCATCCTTGCACTGCGGAAGCATCTGAAGCTCAAACTCACTTCTTCTCCTGCTCTTGCCTGTGAGGCTGGAGTAGAAGGCATAGAGGCTCCCGTTAAAGTTGAACTCCTGGGTTGCTGTTAAGGAATTTTGTTTAAAGTTATACCCTGGGGAAACCATACTCATTACTATATATTCCCATTATGGTAACCCTAAACCCTGAACCCTTAACCCTAAACCCTAAACCCTAAACGTTAAACCTTACAATCCTTAACAGCAACCCAGAATCCGTACACGGCAGGGGTGTCCGAAGCCGGAAGGGCAGATACTGGTGGTCTTGCAGGTTCCCGCCCACAGCTGAGAGATCTGCCTCTGCTTGCTTCTCAATCCCGAGGCGCTCCACATCCTCTCTGCTGCCAATACCAGAACGCTGCAGTATGGTTGGAGTCTGCAACGCCCCAGAGCTTAGCACGACGCCGCGTCTGCAGGCCACATGGGCCATGCCGCTGTCGCTGGCAACCTCCACTCCACGGGCAATACCCTCAAGCAACTTCACCCTGGCCACGTGCGCGTGTGATATGACCTGGGGGGTTCTCAACCAAATGTGCCTTTGGTATCCTATTAGTGTACAGGGATGCTGAGTTTCACGGAGTACCCGCTCAGAAGTACCCAGGCGCCTGATTTTACAAAAACTCCCACCTTCACACTGCCCTCGAAGTCTCTGCCCAAGGCGCAGTGGTAGGACGTCGGCCCCTGCACCGCTCGCTGGCAACTTGCGATTCGCTGGGCTGGGCCCACGGATGGTCCATCCCAAGACATAGAGGCCCTGGGCACATAGGGCACCCCTGCCTTGCCAAGAGCCTTCAAAATATTTTGCCACAGAGGATGATGGAAGTCCACCTGCCGGGCTTTTTCAAACAAGCGGGACCCTTACATGGGGATGTACGGGGAGTATACAGGGATTCTTCGGGTACCTACTTACCATATCTTACCATTATACCAGAAATGCTACTGGGTTGCCTTTTTAGGAACTTAAACTAAATTACTATGATAAGGAAACCACATTATTTACCATATACCCATATTAGGGTAACTTACTTCAAGTTCGTTAACAACAACCCAGTTTACCAGAAATCACCCTAAACCCTAAACCCTAAACCCTAAACCCTAACTCTTGCCTCGTCACTCTGGAGCTCCAGGTCCGCCTCCACATCCTCATAGGCCTCCAAAAACACAATCCCTACACCCTATACGGATTATATAAGTGTAGGGAATTATATAGGGGTTATATAAGGTTTGGGGATTGAGGGTTTGGGATTTAGGGGTTTAAGGTTTCAGGTTTACGGAGAGATCACATCCCCATAGGCCTCCAAAAGCATGGCCTCAGGGAATGGGAGGAAGGTCCGGGTGTAGTAGCGGCCGTTCACCTAGCCAAGATAAGGAGGCTGGTTTAGTGTTTAAGGTTTAGGGTTTAGGGTTTAGGATTTGTGGTTTAGGGTTGAGGGCTTAGCCTACATTAGGAGGCTGCTCAAAATCAGCGTGCTACGGCTTGACCCTGAACCTTAAACCCTAAACCCTAAACCCATGGAGGTATAAAAGAACAATCTTCAAATCTACCTCAGTGGCGGAGGAGCTGCCGCCCAGACCACGTCCATGAATGATCTGCGTGGCTCGGGTCACCTGAGTAGCGTTTTTTGGTGGTTGAACCTAGTAAGATTATATTCCTTATATAAAATACTATACCCCAAAAGGAGGATATAATCTTACTCTATAATGGGCACCATAGTATCCCCAAAAAAATGTTACTCACCTGGGCTATAGTCTAAACTCCTAGTATCCCCCTTTATCACCTCTACATAATGCGCTATATGACGCCCCTTTATGAAGATTAGACTATAGCTCACCTGCGTGTCTGAAACATTTCGAACTTGAAGGGGTTAGGGCCTAGGATCCGACTGTTCATGCTAAAATTCTGAGTGACCTCAGGTATCCTAAAGCTTGAGAAACACAGTAAACCGGTATGGAAGACAGTCACGCAATCTGCAAAAATGAAAAACGCTAAAGAAGATTGGATTAAGTCTCGACGGTTTAGGGTTTAGGGTTTAAGCCCGGCCACCTTTCCTAAGCCCCACTCTACGTCGTTGACGTACCAGAAGTCGGCTTGATCCGGTGCGGAAGGATTGGGATGCGTGTCCGCTCCACCTGCATATCCATCTCCTCCAGACTCCTGGGTTAGGGTTTAGGGTTTAG